ATTGTGATCTCTGACAATGATCAGCTCATACACCTCTTTGGAATTCTTACAAAAACTATCATGTACTCTTTCCACAAAAGTTGAACTTACACATATATCTTATACCATTTTAAAAATGTATACAATTTTAGGGGATTCTCAAGCCTGCTGAAAACAGAGTAGTACCATATAATATAGCAATTCCACTCCTAGGAATATGCCTAAAAGAATTGAAAGCAGAGTTCTGAAAGGTATTTGTACCCCAGCATTCACAGTAATACTCACGCAACCAACTCGTGGAAGCAACCCAAGTACCCAACAGCAGATGAATGAATAAGCAAAATGTGGTGTATAGGTACAATTAAGGAATGAAGCCCTGAGGCATGCTAGAATATGAGCAGGCCTTGAGGGCATTATATTAAGTGAAATAAGCTAGATGAAAAAGGACAAATATTGTATGGTTCTACTTGTTTAAGGTACCTAGAATAAACAAATTCACAGTGATATAAAGTAGAATAGAAGTTACCAGGGGCTGAGGAAGGAGGAATGAGAAGTTATTCGTCTAATGGGTACAGAATTTCTGATTGGGGTGATGAAAAATTCTGGAAGTGGATAGTGGTGATGATTGCACACTGTGAATGTACTTAATACATTTGAATTGTACACTTTAATTGTTCAGATGATGACTTTTATGTTATGCATTTTACAATTTTAAAAATCACATTGAAAAGAAGCTGGACTTTAGAACCTGATAAACCTGGATTCCAGTCCCAGGTCTACTAGTTACCAGCTGAGTGTGACTTCGGGCAAACTAGTTAATGTCTCTGAATGTCATTTTTTTTTAACCTATAAAACTGGGAATAAACTACTGACCTTAGAGGATTGTTGCAGAAATTAATTTGATTAACCTGTCATGGAGTAGCCACTATATAAAAAGCTAAAAGAGACAGAAGGAATACAAAATCAGTCCTGCCTGATGTTCATTTCTGTTTCTGCTGATATTGTTTTTAGATTTTCATACAGGTTTTCCTTGTTCTTGTAAACTTTTTCTTTAGTACAGGTTTTAAGCCTCTACATGTCTTGATATGGATTCTAAGGCATACATACACAGAGAAATACCACATTTATTGGGAGATCAGACATCCTATAACACCATTTGAAACATAACCATATTTGCAGAATCGTGCCAAAAGTCCTCTGTGTAGCAAATACCAGATATAAAGTCTTTGCAGAAGAGAAGTGCCATGCCCCATGTTTAGAAACAATAATACAGGAACAGCAAGAAAAGGAAGAGCTGGCAGTAGAGAAGGAAGCAGGAAAATGATTAATGCCCTTTTGTAAGCCTTGCTTAAAGCTGGCATCATGAGTAACACTGAGCCTACAACATCCAGAAAAGGTTAAATTTCATTCCATTTGCTCTGCTTAGGAAAATGGGGGTTCATACAGAATATTTTTAAGTTGCATCAGAAATGGTAAAACTAAAAACTTAATGCTAAGGAGGTAAAATTCACTTATTTGGAAAAGTCATTTTCAAATGAAGTGTTGCTATTTATATATTTCTATATTCTATTTGAGACATAAATAGCTAAATTTTATCAGTTTTATCACCTAATTCTCTCTGAAAACTGGCTACTTCTTTTAGTCTCCAGCACTTGACACCTGCCTGCCTCACAGTGGGCACTCAGTTTTTATTGAAGGAATGAATGAGTGAATGAACAAGTGAAAGAATTAAACTGTAATATGCATATGTCTGCATGGCATGTATTACCTGTGCATGAATAAGAACATCCACACTTAAAACTATCTCTTTTCTCCTTTTCAGAATAGAAACCATCCTCTTGGGACCATTCATAAGCAAGAGACACCAACGCTGTGACATATGCCAGTGCCACCACCACCACCACCACCACCACCACCTCCTCCTTTGCCTCCACCTGCCCCACCAGTTGGGGCTCCTCCCCCTCCACCACCACCAGCACCCCCGGTAAGACCTGTTTTTCAGTCTTATTTTCCGTCGAGCATAAGCTGCGTGAGTATACTGGAGCAGAAGGTTTTAAATGTTCAGAACCAGTCACCTCCTAGGTTCCCTGTGACAGGTAGCATCTTAGGTAGCTGGCTCTGGCAGCTCCAGGGTCTGATTCCAAACCAGCCTGGCTAGGTACTTCTCTCCCCATTCCTCAACAGCTCCATCCCTCTGCCCCAGTGTCATCTGTAAATGTCTACATACTTTCTCTTCTAATTCCTGCTACTCCATACAGCCTTCCAAGTCTCCCTGATCGGCTCTTGTGTCTCACTGGGAACCTCAGATGAGCAGCTGTGCAGAATTGTACAGCCAATGAGGCTTGCTGCAAAGTCAAGTTCCAGTGTGTCATTAGGACGATGATAAGGACAGCTAGGGCTTCAGCCGCCTGGTTCTGGGCCCAAGTAAGAGAAGTGTCATACGAAATGCCACAACGAAATTTAAATCTCTAAATGAAATTGTCCTATCTACACAAGATTGAATTCAGTTTGTATTTTACTTCTAAATTAAGGATCATATAAAGAATATACCCAGTGCCTTCTGTAAAAGAAAGTCCTAAAACACAGTTTATCCTTGAACAACATGATTTGAGCTGCACAGGTCCACTTATGCACAGATATTTTTCAATAGGTATATTGGAAAATTTTTTGGAGATTTATGGCAATTTGAAACATTTTCTTTTCTCTAGATTATTGTATAGTGTATGATACATACAAAATATGTGTTAATCGACTGTATTACTGGTAAGGCTTCCAGTCAACAGTAGACTATTAGGAGTTAAATTTTGGGGAATCAAAAATTATACACAGATTTTCAACTATGTGGGGGTCAGCACCTCTAACCTTCACATTGTTCAAGGGTCCATTGTACAAGTAACTGATCATTTATATTTGTTCCAACTAAATTGTAGGCTCCCATCCAACTTGCTTCAGCATCAGTCAGTAAAATGCAGGCATTTTTTTCTCCTACATTATTGTGTGTATTAGATTATATAGTAAAATCATATTGATGCTACCTGGAAGAATTATCTGCTATCTTCTGGGCTCTCTGCCCAATATTACTATAGTTTTATTCTGTGGAATCTGATGAGTATTAGTTTTTTTCAGTCTTTCGGTTCTTGTTTTACTCTCCAGAAAAGAGGCAATGACAGTTATTATCAGGCTTTATTATTAGGGGAATACTTTATTTTATAAGAAAATTGTGATCTCTGACAATGATCAGCTCATGCACCTCTTTGGAATTCTTACAAAAACTATCATGTACTCTTTCCATAAAAGTTGAACTTACACATATATCTTATACCATTTTAAAAATGTATACAATTTTAGGGGATTCTCAAGCCTGCTGAAAACAGAGTAGTACCATATAATATAGCAATTCCACTCCTAGGAATATGCCTAAAAGAATTGAAAGCAGAGTTCTGAAAGGTATTTGTACCCCAGCATTCACAGTAATACTCACGCAACCAACTCGTGGAAGCAACCCAAGTACCCAACAGCAGATGAATGAATAAGCAAAATGTGGTGTATAGGTACAATTAAGGAATGAAGCCCTGAGGCATGCTAGAATATGAGCAGGCCTTGAGGGCATTATATTAAGTGAAATAAGCTAGATGAAAAAGGACAAATATTGTATGGTTCTACTTGTTTAAGGTACCTAGAATAAACAAATTCACAGTGATATAAAGTAGAATAGAAGTTACCAGGGGCTGAGGAAGGAGGAATGAGAAGTTATTTGTCTAATGGGTACAGAATTTCTGATTGGGGTGATGAAAAATTCTGGAAGTGGATAGTGGTGATGATTGCACACTGTGAATGTACTTAATACATTTGAATTGTACACTTTAATTGTTCAGATGATGACTTTTATGTTATGCATTTTACAATTTTAAAAATCACATTGAAAAGAAGCTGGACTTTAGAACCTGATAAACCTGGATTCCAGTCCCAGGTCTACTAGTTACCAGCTGAGTGTGACTTCGGGCAAACTAGTTAATGTCTCTGAATGTCATTTTTTTTAACCTATAAAACTGGGAATAAACTACTGACCTTAGAGGATTGTTGCAGAAATTAATTTGATTAACCTGTCATGGAGTAGCCACTATATAAAAAGCTAAAAGAGACAGAAGGAATACAAAATCAGTCCTGCCTGATGTTCATTTCTGTTTCTGCTGATATTGTTTTTAGATTTTCATACAGGTTTTCCTTGTTCTTGTAAACTTTTTCTTTAGTACAGGTTTTAAGCCTCTACATGTCTTGATATGGATTCTAAGGCATACATACACAGAGAAATACCACATTTATTGGGAGATCAGACATCCTATAACACCATTTGAAACATAACCATATTTGCAGAATCGTGCCAAAAGTCCTCTGTGTAGCAAATACCAGATATAAAGTCTTTGCAGAAGAGAAGTGCCATGCCCCATGTTTAGAAACAATAATACAGGAACAGCAAGAAAAGGAAGAGCTGGCAGTAGAGAAGGAAGCAGGAAAATGATTAATGCCCTTTTGTAAGCCTTGCTTAAAGCTGGCATCATGAGTAACACTGAGCCTACAACATCCAGAAAAAGTTAAATTTCATTCCATTTGCTCTGCTTAGGAAAATGGGGGTTCATACAGAATATTTTTAAGTTGCATCAGAAATGGTAAAACTAAAAACTTAATGCTAAGGAGGTAAAATTCACTTATTTGGAAAAGTCATTTTCAAATGAAGTGTTGCTATTTATATATTTCTATATTCTATTTGAGACATAAATAGCTAAATTTTATCAGTTTTATCACCTAATTCTCTCTGAAAACTGGCTACTTCTTTTAGTCTCCAGCACTTGACACCTGCCTGCCTCACAGTGGGCACTCAGTTTTTATTGAAGGAATGAATGAGTGAATGAACAAGTGAAAGAATTAAACTGTAATATGCATATGTCTGCATGGCATGTATTACCTGTGCATGAATAAGAACATCCACACTTAAAACTATCTCTTTTCTCCTTTTCAGAATAGAAACCATCCTCTTGGGACCATTCATAAGCAAGAGACACCAACGCTGTGACATATGCCAGTGCCACCACCACCACCACCACCACCACCACCTCCTCCTTTGCCTCCACCTGCCCCACCAGTTGGGGCTCCTCCCCCTCCACCACCACCAGCACCCCCGGTAAGACCTGTTTTTCAGTCTTATTTTCCGTCGAGCATAAGCTGCGTGAGTATACTGGAGCAGAAGGTTTTAAATGTTCAGAACCAGTCACCTCCTAGGTTCCCTGTGACAGGTAGCATCTTAGGTAGCTGGCTCTGGCAGCTCCAGGGTCTGATTCCAAACCAGCCTGGCTAGGTACTTCTCTCCCCATTCCTCAACAGCTCCATCCCTCTGCCCCAGTGTCATCTGTAAATGTCTACATACTTTCTCTTCTAATTCCTGCTACTCCATACAGCCTTCCAAGTCTCCCTGATCGGCTCTTGTGTCTCACTGGGAACCTCAGATGAGCAGCTGTGCAGAATTGTACAGCCAATGAGGCTTGCTGCAAAGTCAAGTTCCAGTGTGTCATTAGGACGATGATAAGGACAGCTAGGGCTTCAGCCGCCTGGTTCTGGGCCCAAGTAAGAGAAGTGTCATACGAAATGCCACAATGAAATTTAAATCTCTAAATGAAATTGTCCTATCTACACAAGATTGAATTCAGTTTGCGTTGGCAGATACTCTCTCTGGGTTTAATAGTTTGGCTTGGGTTTGAAGGAGAGGCAGAGAGGGCAGTTGCTTCTTTTAAAAACAGAGGCATCATTGATATTTGGAGCTAGATAATGTTATCATAGAGAGCTATGCTGGGCATTGTTGCAGCTTCCTGGCCTCTACCCACTAGATGTCAGTAGCACCTCCAATTGCAACCATCAAAAATGTCCTCAGACACTGCCAAATGTCCCCAGGGGGAGGGGGCCAAATCATCCCCCCATTTTAGAAGAATGCTAGTGCTCAGTGCTTACGGGGAACATTTCCTCTGGCAAAAACCCGGAGCACTTCTCACGCCCTCATTCTCCAGAGAGCCAGGCGTAGCATGGAACCTCAACTCCTTGGAAGGTGAAGGTACAGCTGCCATGGCAATGCAGCGCACAGAGGCAGGGCTGCCCAAGGATGCTGGGAGCCAAGTCAGCAGAAGTCAGGAATAGAGTCTCATTTGTCATCTTCCCCCAAGGTACATGCCTCTCCTCAGAGTCGAGGAATATGAGAGTCAGAGCATGCCTGGGATGTCACCCTGTAGGATGCCCACTTTGCATGCTGATCATATCTGCAATGCGGGGGATCCAGACCTGACTGAAACTTGGCCCTTGCCTTGAAGAGAGTGGAAAGAAAGCCCATAATGTGAATTACATCTTGAAGCTCTCAAGCCAATGTAGAGAAAGAATAGGAATATGTGTTGAAGTTCCAGTGATGAATTTGACCCTGTAAGGGATAAAGGAGATGAACAGTTTATAAGTGAAGGAAACATAATGAAACTATCATCCGGATCTTACGCAGACTTGCTAGCCCTAAAGAAGTGCAACTTATACTAACTTGAAACACCACGATACACCCATAAAGTCAGCCAGAATAAATAAACTTATCAAAACACATATTGTTAGGGATTTGGGGAAATAAGCCCTTTTAAACATTACTGGTGACACATAAATACAAGGGACCCAACAAATGTTGAATGAGTCTTTCTGGAGTGTGTTCATTATTTTCTAGCAGAAAATAATAAACATGAATGCATAATTCTTTTCCCCCTGGTAATCAAGTAGTTTTACTTTTTGATACTGATTTAAGAATTTGAAGGAATCACAGAGAATTTATACAAAGATGGGCAAAGCAATGCTATTTATTCTAGTGAAAAATTAGATCTTAAATAGTTTATGAGAACTAGATGAAATGTATTATGTTGTGCTGTTAATTAAAAATTGCGTTATGCCACAGAGTTAATTAAAAATTAAATTTGTAACTGTGCCGACTATGGAAAGTAGATGTGGAATGATGGCTGGGAAACACTGCACATCTTGAGCATAATAAAAATCAGTATGCAGTATATGTAATAAATAACAAATATCAGAAGAGAATTTTGAATGCTGATAATAAATTTTAAAAATCATTAGGGAATTCTTTTTCTTTAAAGGTGCTTAAGCTCATAATAAAAATAATTCTACATTTGGTTGATTATTTTAATTCTTCTCCCCCATTCCTACTTTTTTTTTTCTTGTCATCTGTCTCAGGGAGGAATAAATCTATTTAGGAGGAAAATAAAATCTATGTAAATTTTAACATTTCTTAAAACATATGTTTCTCTAATCTTCTGCATCCGTGGATGTTTTGCTGCCCTTGTCTAGCTTGGAGTAATACTTAGTCTATAAGCACAGACCTGATCATCTACATTTGCCCTCTTACAGCACTAAACTATGTTTTCTACCTTTATCTTGCATCTACCTACCACTTCAGCATTTTATTAAAAATAAAAATAATAATAATAATAAAGGGAGAAATGTGGGATCCACATATAAATCAAGTATAAAAATCAAACGAATATTCATATTTGACCTGATTGTTTATAGTTCATAATGCATGATCAAAACCGAAAGTTTCTGTGATGAATGCCCTTGTACTGTTCACCATGTAAGAATTTATTCACTTTGTAAGAATTCGTTCACCATGTAAGAACTTGTTTGTTATGCTTCAGAAGATTGGAGACTGACGAGAATTAGGCTTGAGATGGATTAATGATTGTACATTGAGCATTGACCCCCCTATACTGAATTTTATTGTTGTTAACAACCATTTGATCAATAAATATGAGAGATGCCCTCTCAAAAACAAAAACAAAAACATACGTTTCTCTAATCTGGGGGAAATATTTATAATGCATATTAAAAGCAAATAATAAATGTCCTTAGGGTATGGAGAACCTTACAGATCAATATGGGAAGGATAAATAGAAATATGGGCAGAGGATATAACCACGTGGAAGACATACAAATGTTTTAACCTCACTACAATTGAATAAACACAAATTAAAATAATGAGAAACCATTTTGATTTGCCATTTTGGAGATAATACTTTTTTTAAATGTTGCACTTATAACTCTTAATGGGAGCAAAAATTGGTATAATTCCCAAAACACTTGTTAATTCCCAAAAAATTTGTTAATATAGATTAAAACCCTTTAAAAAGTGGTTATACTCTGTGGTCCAGTTTCCTTTCAAGTAATTTTCTTTAAGTAACTAGTCGTAGATGTACAGAAATATTTAGCTGTAGGATATTAGTGAAAGCATTACTTGCAGTAGCAACCAAAAATGAAAAGAAACAATCTAAAATTTTAATATGAGGAGATTAATCTAAAATTTAGTATGAGTGATTGTGTAATCCACAAAATGATAAACCAGGCAGCCAATAAAAATCCTATCAAAATTCTGTAACTGCCTGTGTAATGAATAACTTCAGTGAGGATCGTCCATGAAAGCTAACACCTTTTAGTGAAAGTTTTTAGGGGAACAGGATAGTCACAATCCCAAGTATCACCCACACATTACTTCTAATTACAAAGGGGAAGATATACCTTTAAAATGGCACACATTAAAATGGTAAATTTAGCCTCTTCTGTAGTGGAGTAGCTTTATATCATATGCTGTTTGTTATGATGCAACAGGAAATATATATCATCAACCTATGGTAACCCACCAAAAATAAATATACTCGGAACAAGCAATTAAATGTCTCCAGAACGTGGGACCTTCTAGAACAGAGGCTGGCAAACTGGAGCAGAGCTCACAGTCCAGTTTTTGTATAGCCCATGAGTTAAGAATGATTTTTACATTTTCAAATGGTTAAAAAAAAATCAAAAGGAAAATAATATTTCTAATATTTCTTGACACATGAAAACTATATGAAATTCAAATTTCAGTCCATAAATAAAGTTTTATTGGACCACCACCATGATAATGTCTGTGGCTGCTTTTATGCTACAGTGGCAGAATACCAATTAAACAATTGTTATTCCCCCCAAAAAAGAATTCCATTTTTCTCACTAGCCACCCTGTAATTTAAAATTATACTTAATTATTATTATCATTATTATTTTAAATTTCATCAATAAAAACTTAATGGAAATTTACTTTCTTTTTTCTTTTATAGTAATTACATAGCATCCATGATTGCCTCTTGGTCCACAGTGCCTAGAATATTTACTGCCTAGCCTTTTATAGAAAACGTTTGCCAACACCTGTCCTGAAAGACAGCCTGCTTCATGCAGCATTCCTTTGTTACCAGCAGCCAGTGATCTTGGTATACTTGTGTCAGATCATGGCTCTCTCACGCATCACTTTTCAAGGACTTCCCATCCTCCTGCTCACTACAGCCCACCCCACCTGCATGAGCTGGCCTGTGCCTGCCTCTCAGACCTCATGCTCTGCCCTCCTCCCGTGTCTCCCACTTTAGGGCTTGAGCATAGCTGTTCCTCCTGCCTGGAGAGCTCTTTCTGCTCATCTCAGCTCAGATGTCACTTCCCTGGAGCACCATTTCCTCACACCACTTGCTGGCTTTTATAACATACTTTAAACCCCTCCTTCACGGCAATTATCAGTTCTTAATTTTATATTTATTTGACTGGGGTCCACATTTTATGTTTTGTGGTCTTTTCTGTCCCTAGTGCCTGGCTTATAATAGGCACTCTGCTCATTGAATAAATGAATGCGTACATGCATGAACTGAATATCTGTGTAAATAGGATTAAGAAATGGAGTTAAACCTCTTCATAACCAATATTCAGGACTTTTAAACTTCTGTGCTCATGGATCAGCACGGCAGATTTTATTATAGGTAACCTTTGCAACGAGAGAGCATTTTGTGTCTGTTTGTCTTTAATGAAAAGCATTCTGTCAGGCTCCACCTTAGCACTGGAAAATCTGGGGATTACCAAGGCTAAAAGTTTTTTGGTTTCTTCTACCTCCTCTCACCTCTACCCTTCCTGCCCCTTCCATCCTCATCTCCTCGTCTTTTCTGATGTGCACTTGTCCTTTTCCAAGAACTTGGGAGTAGAACTGAGAGAAGGGTGCATGTGGCTTGCTAAAGTTTGGCCGCAGGCTTTAATTAAAAGCTAGGTAGCCCGCACCATCTTGTTTCCCTTCTTTTCTTGCTCCAT